ACAAGGAGTTTGTTCTGCTAAGTTCAGACCTGCACTCATTTCTGGGCCCCACTGTGTTATTTTCTGCATTTCCATAAAAATAATACTAAAAATTAATGGAACTCAAATATAATCATACAAAAAAAAAAAAAAAAAAAATTGGTAGGTTTCAATGTGCAGAAGCAACGATGGGCTAGCAGAATTTCATCAGTCTCTGTATTGTCAGAAACACATCAAAGAAATTTGAAGGATAAATACAAAAGGAATTCATTTTATAGCTGCCTCCCCAACTTCACAAACATGCAAATGAGATTTCCTCCTTACAAAGTTGACATTTTTCTATTGTTTGTCGTTTCATGCTCCTAAAATTTGAATGTTCCTAGATCCTTCAGGTTTCATAATTTGCCAAAATAAAGCCAAGACAGATATACAAATGGATTCCTCATTAAATGCAGAAAGACCAGCCAGAACTCTGAGTACAGCAAACTGCTAAAGCTGGTTGTACACCAAGGATTAGGTCCTCAAAGGACCTGAGCTACCACCACTAGCCCTATGGTGCTGCTCTGTGGACAGCCAGGTCACAGAGAGCCCTGTGCTGTGAAAGGTGTGTTTAGGATCAGTGTAAACAGAAAGTTTTTTATGATGGAATAACTGCTTCAGTAGATAAGGGAAGAGCCACTGGTGTCACCTGTCTGGACTTCAGTAAAGCCTTCGACATGATCTCTCATTACATTTTTCTCTCCGAATTGGAAACATGGATCTGATGGGTGGACTGTTCGATGGATGAGGAACTGGTTGCGAAATCGTACCCAGAGAGTGGTGGTTAATGGCTCAATGTTCAGATGGAGATCAGTGGCAAGTGGTGTCCATCAGGAGTCATTAGTGGGGCTGGTGCTCTTTAACATCTTCATCAATGACACTGACAGTGGGATTGAGTGCACTTTCTACAAGTTTGTGGATGATACCAAGCCGTGCAGTGCAGCTGACATGCCCAAGGGATGGGATGCTATCCGGAGAGACCTACACAGGCTCGACAAGTGGGTCTGGGAAAACCTCATGAGTACAAGACCTGGGTTGTGGCAACTTCCTCTATCAGTACAGGCTGGGGGATATATGGATAGAGCACGATCCTGCCTAAAAGAACCTGAGGGTAATGGTGGATGGCAAGCTGAGCATGAACCAGCTAGAAATGTGCCCTAACAACCCAAAAAGCCAACCGTATCCTAGGCTGCATCTGAAGTGTGGCCAGTAGGGTGAGGGCGGTGATCCTGCCCCTCTGCTCTGTGCTGATGAGACCTCACCAGGAGTTCTGCATCCAGATCTGGAGTCCTCAGTACAGGAGAGCTGTAGATCTGTTGGAATGCTTCCAGAGGAGGGCCACAAAAATGATCCCAGTGATGGAACACCTCCCCTGTGAGGACAGGTTGAGAAAGCCAAAGCTGTTCAGACCTGAGAGTAATCTTTTGGTATCTAAAGGGGGGTTATAAGAAGGAAAGGGACAGATTCTTTAGCAGAGTCTGCTGTGATAAAACAAGTGGAAATGGTTTTAAACCAAAAGAGGGGAGATTCAGATTGGATATAAGGAAGAAGCTTTTTACGGTCAGGGTGGTGAGGCGCTAGAACAGATTGCCCAGATGCCCCTTCCCAGGAGACACCTAAGGTCAGGCTGGATGGGGCTCTGGACAACCTGATTTACCTGCAAGTGTTCCTGTTCATTGCAGGGGAGTTGGACTTGGTGGCCCTTAAGAGTCTGTTCCATCTCAATTGATTCCCTAATTCTATAAGGTTAGATCCAGAAGGCTTCCAGAAATCTTACAAAATCTTACAAAAGTGCTTCTTCCAAGGACCTAAAAAGTATCAAACATTGGGAGCTTCTCCTGAAACTGGTGAAAATTCAAAACTCTACAGCTTCTGCTCTTCCATTTCCTGTCACCTACAAATGTCATCACACAATGGTGTCCAGGCGAGAAGACCCTGCCCATTTGTTTGTCAGATATTGTTTTAAGAGCTTTTTTTTCTTTTCATGCAACCTGTTCTAGAGTCTTTTGAGATGAACTTGTAAAATGGAATTTTACTTCCAGGAAAATAGTCTAAATAAGTTTTCAAGGAAAAAATGCTAATGATCTAATGTTCTTTCTTTGGAAGAATGAAATGGATGAAGGGAAGAAGACTTGATTTCGAGTGCAAACATCTAGCATGCTGCTGACTGAAACCAGCTGGAAGTTTATTCTTAGGTTTAACTCTTCAGTGTAGGGGAATGGGAAAAGAAGACATGACTGTAGAGAAGCAGTGTATAGAAGTTATTGTCATACTTACATTGTGAATATTAACATGCTTTTACCCAGATTTGGGCTTTCTTCTCACTAATTTAAAATCTTAAAAGATTTCATAATGGAATGTGCTTGCTTAGAATAGCTTTTACCAGTAAGTATACACTTGGTGAATTGGCACTATTAGGTGATTCTGACTCTTTTGTCTTGTGACTAGAGAAACACTCTTTGCAAAAACCAAATTTCATCATGTGATAATTCTGCATGACACTTCTTCCTCAGCTTAATGGTAGTGAAGGGAAGCTGAGAGAGATCATCAAGATCTGAGTACATGATTGATATTCATCTTATGCTATCATAACATTACATAATGACTGTGTTATTATTGATCTGGATTGTAGGCGAGAGGCAATCGTTGTTTCAGGTACTGAAACACACACTACACATAAAACAAACCAATCATTTATGGTGTTAGGTTGACATTTAGCATGACTGCCAAAAGAGGTAGGGACAGCTTGGCCTCGTATTTTTATTTCTAAATGGGAGCCCCAGTACTCTTTTAATTCTGTTTTGACCTCTAAGCACTGCATAAAGGAAGAAGAATGTAAAATAGTGGGGTAAGCACCTCAGACACCCTGTATCTGATCAAGCAGCCATGACCCATTGCATTCATCTGCACATAACACTCCTGTTTGTCGGGAGAGGGACATTCAGAAGATGATTTTTAGCTTCATATAGCTAATACATGCTTTATTTGGTAAACAAAAGCATGCAAAAAGAAATGAATTAAATTTTGGAAGAAGATACATAAAATGAAATATAATTAAACAGCTGATCTTGGCTGAATTGCAGCTAGAAGGTCAGCACTCTTCCACCTCAACGGGCAGGCATTCTGGGGGTACTAAGGTCCAGCACTGGGTTCAGCAATATTCATACACAGAAGTGCTGGGGGAGACACATTTGTTCCTTTGATGGTTATTGTCTTGTTTGTCAACATGAATGCAATCATAAGTGAAAACCATAGGACATTATGTCTGGAGTAAAGAGCCAGATTGATGTGATGGTCTTAAATTTGCATCAAATAAATAGAAAGGAGGGATGAGTATGGGGTATCTAACACATGTGATGAATTGGTTATGTTTACCCCACCTACAAATTTGTGCAAATAGAACACTATCTGCTTTGATGGTGATGCTTTGATTAAGAGTCCCTGTATGTTCCTTTGTAGGATACATATATATACACACACGTATTTATTTTGGACTTCACCTCTGCTGGGGCATGCTGACCATGAACAACATGCACAGAGATTAGGGCTGACATGCCAGGATCAGTGCTGGACTGATGGTCTGTGGCACATGTATCAGCCATTCAGGGTTTGAAGGGCATCCAGAAATTCTCAGTAGACATCAAACAGCCCACTCCATAAATACTATTTCTGGTTAGAAAAGGAGTGTCTTTCTAGGCAAATCTAGGGTATCCTTAACAGTTAGCAATTTACCACATGGATAGGTCTCCTTAGTAATCTGCAGCCCACAAAGTTTCCTTACTGTGAACATGAGAAATACAACACCATGACAAGACAAGCCTCAAGTCCATTTACAGCCAGATTGTGACTGCCTTGTTTTTTCTCAGCTGCACTGATAAATAGCTGAATCTTCCTCTCAGCTTCCTGTGTTCCTGGAGGATTCCCTACATCCACCACATGTGCTGTTGTCCAGATCTCAGCCAAGCAGCTGCTGTCTTCCCTTCGTGCATCAGGGCTTGGTTTTAGGAAGAGACAGAGAACAGTGAGGGACAGGGACCTCATAAAGAAAAGGATCTGGGCAACACAGGCAAGAACCACAGGCTTGAGGCAGAAGGCAGGTTTGGGTCTCTGCATATTGGCCAAAACCACTCTTTGGGACTTGAGCTTAACTGGAACTGATTGTATATGATTCCCATTATGGGGCACACAGATGATGAAAAACTCATGGGTGCTTTTCTAACTCCGTATCGCTGTGAGAAGCAAGATGAGTTTTGGATTTAATAAATCCAAGCCAAGCTAATTCTGTCCCTGGTTGAATAAAGCATCAAAACAACCTGCATATACGTTTTTGTCATTAGACTTATCACTTTCTGCCAAGTTGGCATGGTAATCCAGAAAACCAGAAGTTGCTGTGACTTTGAAAAATGAATGCTTTCACTTAAAACATGCTGTACTATATTAGGATGTCTACAAGTAGTGTTTAACTGGAAAAGGAGTTTGTTCAGTGCCAAGCCATGAACAATAGCAACAAATGAAGCATGCATTAAATGTCTTTTATTTTAGGAGATGTTTTAAGTCAAAAAAATTCTCTCAGACAGAGAATCTGCATTTAATAAACAAATTCAATAAAAGGTAACTTTATGCCTCTTTAAGAGACAGGCACAAACAAAAACATAATGTCATGGCTGTGAGCATTATGGAAACTAGGGAGGAAAATGAAGGCTCCAGAGTCTGATAGGGGGAAAAAAGGGACAACCATATTACTGCTGCTGTGACTGATGTTAATGGCAGAAGACAATTGGTCTTACTAGGGAACACTGCAGTCCCATAACCTTGTAAAAGAATGTGCTTCTTTCAACTTCCATGTGAAAAACAGGCTGTTTCTTGGACAGTGGAAAAAGTTCCTTTCATACATATAGAATTTTAAAAACTCAAAGGGAGGTGAGCAAAAAGAGGTATGCGAGGACCCTGGCACATTTCTGATTCAGCAGTAGTAACTTTACCTTTTACACTGTGACCAGTGGTGAATTGCCCAGACTGCTGTATCTCAACATCCTGGAGCAGAGGGAAGCTGGTGGGGACCAGAAGCAAATACATCCCTGAGAAAGAGACTGAGGCTGGCAGTGCCAGACCCAGAGGATGCAGCCATCCCATGGGCCTGAGAAGATAGATGAAGACCAGCTGTGACAGATGGTGAAGAGCAGGTTCAAATGGGGATGCATACCATGCTGACAAGGGGGTGAATGCTATCCTAATCTTAAGCACATGTGTGCTTTAGTCTTTCTTATCCATATTTATCACATCTTCTCTGTCCCTCCACATTCCCCTTCTCTTCCTCTTTTTCTTTCATTCAAACTAACACCTCTCATTTGCCACCTTTGCTTTCAAACACCCCTATTTCCTCCCCAGATCACCTCTGAGCTTTGAAGACCTTATTTATCCCTTTCTCAGCAACTCTTTTTCAGCTACCCACCTGGCTTCTTCTGAAAAGAGAGATCCTCATGAATTTGGAGCCCAGATCCTGGCTGGTGACCTGTTTCCCTGTGGCCAGTGAGGAATTTCCAGAGGACGAGTGGTATGTGTGCTGATCTCAGGGGAACTGGGGAGCTGCCAAACCAAACCAGCAAGCTGAGCCAGGAAAGGAATGTTTGTGGAAACTGGGAATAGTGGAGCTTATTTAACTCCACTTTCTTCCTCCTTGGATTTCTTTTTAGCCTTGAGCCCAGCACAAACTCCTCTATGGTATAAGAACAGCAGCAGTAAGGTGAGAGGTACAAACTACTGCTGCAACCCACTTTACCTTGGGGAGATAAGGAGAGCTGCTGCCAAAGGATAATGCATTGAGTAGGAAAGAAGCCCTGTGACTTGGGTTGTAGACTCAGGCTAGTTTAGTATTTCTTATGGAGCAAGAATGCGGGGGATGTACCATAAAGCTGCCAAAGAAACAGCCAAGTAAAACAGAATTTGGGGTTAATGAGGGACACAGGGAAAACAGAGGCATATGGGATCCCTTCAACTTGTTTTCTTTCAGTGGAAGTGAAAACCCCATAGATGACTGTCCCTTTGTGAAATTTTGTCTGCATGTCTGCCTACAACTTTTACCTGCAGTTCATTCTACTTGCCTTTTTTTTTCTCCATTCTTAATACCTTGACATATCTCCTTCTCTACTTTGTACCACCAGCTTTCCATGTAGCTGACCTGCATGAACTTCACCTATACCAGTGCCACCCTGTTGAAAAACACTGTAACCAACAAATAACACTTTGAGTTTGGGATATTTTAATACTCAGTGCTATTAGGAAATTAAGTAATACAGAACAATCAAGATCATAGGCTTCTTCAAGACAGTGGCAAAACTCCCACTGACATCACTGCTGTCAATGTGCACATATTAGTGCTTTTAAAGCAAGCTACAGATGGGCTTACGCACACCAGACCTAGAGTCATTCAACTCCCTGCACCTGGGGTCCACACACTCTCTAGATTCTCTGCATCCCAAAGGCTCCCTTCAGTGGGATGCAGAGGAATAGCACATGGTTTTACAGAGCCCAGTGTTGGTCTTCAGGATCCCAGCCCAGCATTTGAGTCTTGCCCTGCCTTGAACCTGGGTACTGGCATTGCATGCAGAGTTAATTGTTCCACTGTTCTGCATTTTACCTCAGTGATTTACATCTTGCCAGGCACAGTCTGAGTAATCAGAGTCTCTACAGCCTGATAATGTTTGTTAAGACCTGCTGACTTTCCTTTCAATGACACTACACTATTCAGTGCTTCTGACAAGATTGCATTCTGCTTGAGAAGTCATTACCCTCCTGCTGAATCTGGCATGATCTGCTCCAAGAAAACAAGAAAAACACTTTGTGCTTCACAAATAGGGAAAAAAAAAAATCACCAGTAATGCCAACATACTGGACTACATGCACGCAGTCATCCTGAAAAGGTCTGAGACAAATTACTAAATTATTCTGCGCCTCATAAAGAAAAGAGATGTTAACATTTCCCCTCCTTAACTACACTGAAAGCTCTTTGGAGAAGGAAAGACTTTTTTTCTATGTGTGTTCACACAGTCTCAGATACAAGTGGGATCTTGGGCCACAGTAGTGGAGGAAGGGACTCTGAGTGCTCTGCAGTCTTTGAAAGGGTACATGAGTTATTTCATTCATGACAGAGCTGCTTCACCTGTGAAGGTGAACACTGTGCATTCAGAACAGTGAGTGGCCTGGTAAAGGTAAGGGGAAGGAGTTACTATAGCCTGAAAGTGTAAGGAGGAATTTGGATGGCAGGAGCTGCTTCTGAGCTAGAGTCTGGCTGGGAGATAAAAACACTTGTGCAAACTGATCCAAATCCCATGGCAATTCTACACCTGGGACTGAGACAAACACAAACACATATTAGGCATGCCGGAATCCTAAAAAGAATCACCAAGTCAATAGAAAAGTGCCTTACTGGCTCATCAGTCCTCATACTGGGATAGAACTCAGATCATTGGGAAGATTCTACTGGTCCACTTTCAGCTTGTGCATCTCGCTTAGTCTAACACATACTGAAGAAAAAACTGCTGTACCTTACATGTGTTCCTCGTGTTCTAAAGTTGCTTACCCAGATGTCATTAAAATTGTCTTTCAACTTTTGATTCTGTCAAGCTATTTATGACACTATAAGCTGTTTTACCCAACTTTTGACTGCTTCCTGTGGCAATAGGAGCCACAGAATCATTTAGATCCTTCCTTGTTAGCAGCATGACTACTTTATAGAGTACAAAATCTGTGATCTAAACTAAAATGTGAAAAATTCTATAATCTGTCCTTCCTCTGATCTCATCCCAGTTTAGCACAATTGCCCTAGAGTAGGGCAATTGTGATTTACTAAGCATCCTTTTTATGTCTTTCAGTTTCAGGTATCCATTGTGAATTCTGATTCATGGGTCATCTTCATACAGGTTAAATTAATTAAGTCTGTGCTATAGAAGCACCTGGGGAATCAGGATGTGCTAAAAAGGATTTTGATTACAGTTATAGCCCTACTCTGTTGGAAATTTTTCCTATTCAGGTGAAATTCATTCAGGGACAATTGTAGTTTAGATGTATTTTCAACACCAAGCAGCTTTTAGAGATATGAGGATAAATTCCCTTTCAGCACCTTCCTCAATTCTCTTCCCACTGAAGAGATGTTCGAGCCAGACACTATGGTCACATCAGTGTGGCACTAGGTCCAACCAGGTGAAACCTGCTGAAAGGCAGAGCTCTTTCCCTTGGACACATGCCATGTGTGTGACTGTCAACCTGTCAGTAATCTAGCTAAGGTCCCTGCATTGCTCCATACTGTGCTGTTTTTTTTTTTTTTCCTGGTTTGTGATCTCTGCTCCACAAACCTCTGTGCAGCACAGATGTCCTCGTTGCTGTCTTCATTCATTAATGTTCAATTTTTTTTTTCTTGATTCAAAACATGTTTTTGTGTTTGTCTACTGCTAACTTATGAAAGGGCAGGAAACGTTCCTCTAATGCCTCCTCCCTAATGTTTTTTAAAGACCTATTATTTGGACCTATTATATACATAGATTTATACTCATCTGTTGCAAAATTTTTTGCTGGGGAAATAAAAGCACAGATATAAAAACTCTCTTCTTCAGGTCATCATTTTCAATGCTAATTCCTCTGAATTTCAATCCCTGACTGCCATTCATGCAGCGTCACCATCTTTTTGTAGGTACAATGGCAATATTTAGTGCAGTTGTGATTTGCATTGGGCAGATGAACCTCCAAACCAGAACACTACAGCCTACAAACATGCATTCTCAGGAACTGTTAAAGGCTTGTGAAACAGATGTAAGGTAGGTGAGAATAACCTCTGCAGCAGATTGATCAAATCGATGTCAGTATAATAGGTCCAACAAGATGGGAAAGTGGGACAGATGATGCAATTCTCCAAGTGACCACGTGGGAGCCAGAGATAAGGGAAACACTGTTATTTTTCTCCACAAGAAGGAACCTACGCCAGGCATGGGAAGATTTGGCTCTGTTCCATAACATTTCATATCTTTCATAGTTTTATGTGCAACACATATTTTATGAATTGGATAAAAATAACTTTATGAAAATCAAAGTAAATAAATGTTGCATTTAAAAAAAAAAAAATTGTATGCAGTCCAGATTGCATAATTTGCCTTTTTTCTTGAGCCAGACCTTTGGATACTTTAAAATAAGCCAAAACCATGACCTGGTATATTTGAGGACTTCTGGGTTTGTACGTGAATATGTGTTTGACCATTTGTGTCATAATTACATGCTGTGTTCAAGTCATATTCCTTTTCCTCACGCCATCCAAAGGAGCATAGTCAAACTAGTATTACTGTCAATGGTGGAATCCCAGAGGTCATTTGAGAAGGGAGTGCCTGGCTGTAAAAAAATATGGCAAAAATGTGTGGAGATCATAGGATCATGTGATTTGGAAGGAACCTGTAAAAGTCATATTGTCTAACTACCCTTCAATGTGCAGGGACATCTACAGCTAGATCAGCTTGCTTAGAGCCTGACTTCGAGTGTTTCCATGAATGGGACATCTACCACCTCTCTGGGCAACATGTTCTAGATATTCCAAATGATTCTATTTCAAAGATGCTGTGCATATCTTAAATCCAAGGCACTCATCTTTTATACATATGGCAAAATTGCCACCAACCAACCTGGTATGCAGATATAGATGATCACATAGTAGAGAAAATTTTAAATTCTACTTCCTGGTAAAAGGACTGGATGGTTCTCTGGAAGCAGTTAGTCTTCTGTGTAGTCCTCCTTCTCTTGACACTGGAGCTTCCAGTCTGTTGCAGCTAAGCCTATCAGCAGAAGCAGTCTGCAAGAGTTTCTCATGCTTCATCAAACTCAAAAACTGAGTTACCAAAACGCTAGAGAAAAAAATAAAGCTATTCACCATTGTTCAGAAATCGAAGACTATGGACCTTCTCTTCTTCCAAGTAATTGCTCCTGCAGAGAGCCTCTAAGGAGATCAACTTACTCCTCCAGGGTTCTGGAAAAAACTTTTTATTTGAATAATGCATGCAGACCAGGTAAATCTGGATATAGCTTCATATAATAATGCTGATAGCCTGAAAGGCACACCATAACCATTCCCAAAAGCATGAAGCTTCATCGGTGTCACTATAGTTAGCATATCCTTTTCTCATTGACAATTTATGTCTTCCAATTGTGTGTCTTCCAGTATTTCCTACTTCATTCCCAGTGAGAGGTAATTACCACTACAGCTGTTTCTCAGTGTCCAAGAAGCCACAACCGCAAGGAATAGCACTGCATCTTCTCTCCCCAAGAAACCACGAAGCTGGTGTTCTATTGTTTGTGTGCCATTTCTTTGAACTGGGAAGCCCTTAAAGAAAATATTGCCAGCTGAGATGAAATGTACTAACAAGACTTGCCCTAGGGTTTCTACTCAGAGAATAGGCAATTCTTGTAATGTAGCCCTGAAACTCACTTCTGCTCATCAGTGTACTGGTAGTTGTCAGAGCAGCGCAAGGAAAGCAACTGGATGACAAGAAGTGATATTGGCTCATATTACTACAGTTATGTGTGCTATTTTTATTTTTTTCCCTCTTTTTTTTTTTTTTTTTTTTTTTCTTCCTACAG